GCAAGTCACCTAACTGTATTATGGGGCATACAGCAAAAGCACTGGAACTCAAGTTGCTCTCAGTGGCTCAAGATGATGTCGCAATGGCTGGCAAACTTCTCAGTGATTGCATCTCACTAAAGTGCTTACTTCTGTGAATGAGTTTTGGCATCTAAATGGTGAATGCATTATAATATCCTTGCTTGCCCCATTCTTGTGATTGTGGCAGCTGCCACACTTGGGTGAAGCGTAATGTAATTTATGCAGAAATCTTGTATCTTTTGACCGACATTATCACATGCAGCTTTTTCATGACACCACATTGGAAAATTTAGCTGTGTTAATAGAATCTAATCTCCATAGAGTGACTAGTGTTTGTAGAAAAGCAAGTCTTAATGTTGAAATATGTAAGACATTGATAAGTGCAATGATTTTATGTGCAAAGGGCTTGTGGTTAAGATTCTACAACTCACAAAATGTATCACTACTCATTCCAAGCTATAGTTAGCGGAAAGTTAACAATAACATTTCAGCAGATGTTCAACCATTCTTTGGTTATTGCAGAACTACATCAAGGCCATGCGGCTATTCGTGGGAGAGCCCGTCTGGACGCCGATCAATCGCCCGGCTGACGATCATCCAGCGCGCAACCAGTATCTTGAGACTCTTAGGCGGGCATGCGACTGTGCTGTATAACCTGCAAACAGGCACACAAGCAACAAACTACAAGGAAACCACGTGCCTTATGTTGCTACACAAACATTTAATGGAAGTGTAGCGGTCCATGTTAAATAAATATATAGATTTATTTTTTACAAAAGTGCAGTTGTTTTTTCTTTATTAAGTATTTCGTCACCACAGTGGAACAAGCTGCTGCAGGACAAAAATGAAGTACTGCCCAGAAAAATAATAAATAATCTGTAATATCCGAGGCCACGACTAGAACTAATAAGAGTGCATGTGAACAGAATGTACACACAGCCGCAATGAGCTTCTCCACCATCATTTTGTCACATGGTGCATGTGTACTACACACAAACATATACAGGTGAACCAGGATATATTGAACAGCTGTAGAACCCTCTTAGAAATTTTATTGAAATGTTTCTATAAAAAGTACTCTGCCGTGCACTTATTGAAAAACTTCACTGCCACTTTCGACATACTGAATGCTGAGGCTCGTCACTGAAAGGGCATAGCTCTTAACAACACTGCAATCACTTGTTGACTACATGCCACGAATGAAAACTAGGCAAACTGTGTCTCCACAAATGAAGGGGTTGTGCGGCAAGTCTTATAGTCCATAAATTTTTTGAGGTAACTTTCACTGCAATGTGGCTGTAATGTAATGTGGTGAATCATTCTAACTGCAAAACGATTTATTTCCCAACTATGAAGGATTTCTACTCTAATTTCTTGTACTACATTATAAATTGAACTACTTTGAGATTTTCTTTATGTTCTATATATCTGTGCTCAGCTGTTAACATTAGAAACATACATCTCAGGTGTGCTGTAAACGTATATATCTGTCCTTTTAGTGAAAATATAAAATTGGCAAGCATAAAGTACAGTCTGAATTATCTTGCTTTGTGCTTAACATTGAATGAAAGTAAAACAATAGTGTTTTCAGATAATGTAACCAAGCAGTTCAGAGAATCTAGTGTCACGCTGGTTTTTATACTAGAAACCACATTTCACTGGCTTTTAAACCACAAAACTTGTTTTGATGTTTGTGACAATCGCAGAGATCACAAAGAGAGTAAGTATGAATAGGCTCTTGATACATGGAGGGGTGTCTTAAGCTACGAGCATGTGGTCTTGCAGAGCTTTTTATGTACAGACACATCATCCACTGCAGAACAAGTGCTCATGCATAGTTTCACGCCAGAACCACTTTGATATGCGAGTCTGCGTGCGTACCAGATATCTACAACGCTCTGACCTATAATGTGAATTAACAGGTGTCGGAGATAAGTGTTGGCAAATGTCTGACAACATTCAGTGTGTGCAATTGGCTTTGCGGCTGAAAGACAGACTTCAGTTGTATATGTACAATGCGTGCAGCTGTCGGAGGTTAAAAAAAAAAAAAAACCGGCATTCCAGTACATCAAACGACATTTCATCAAAGATTTAAGTGGGAGATTGGAAGTGTTTGGCAGACTAGTGTGCAGATCTGCGTACATAATCTCAGCAGCAATCACTGTGGTTGATGCCCAGGGTGTGACAGGTGTAGCTCCTAGTGTTGGAGTGTTAAAGCAACCAGGTGCTTCGAACAACAGTTCGAAGCATCGAACAAAAGCATCAGTGGGGGAATCTTGCGACACAGTGCTCAAGCAAACTGTTTGGACACTCTTAATGCTATGTGTGGCTGTGTTTCATTTTATGCACCATCACGGAGGGGCCTTAACATGAATCGTTGAAAGTGTTTGAATTTGCATGTCACCTCACTGCATTACGAGGCATAAAGTACAGGAATTCAAGTTGCTTTCAGTAGCTCAAAGTAATGTTGCGATGGCTGGCATAGAGTTTATGTGGTATCTCCCGCATCTGCTTTTTGGAGATCAGCACCGCCTGGTTTATGTACAGCCGCTGACTAAATTATGGTCGAATTATAGTTGAGTACAACTTTTAAAGGCAGGAGGAACCCTGCCGATATAACTGAAGGATGATAGCTGATCACCATGACTAAAAAAGTGGTCCCGCTCCTGTTCTGAGCAACATTTATCAACATTTTCACTGGTTGTCCAGCTCACGTAGTCAGTCTAGAGCAGGGGTTCTCGCAGTGTCTGGCCTTGGGAAACCCCATTTCCAGAGAGCCGCGGAACCTCTAAACCTGAATTCGCTTGTCTAAATAAATAAATTAGTAGCCAATAGGACTTAAATGGAAGTAGGTTGCACTCATTCTGGCTTCTCGCGGAACTCCAACATGTTCTTTAGAACCCAAGGTTCTGCGGAACCCAATTTGAAAACCCATGGTCCAGAGTATGTGCCTTCATAGGTGCTGGCTTGTGCACATCCACCTTTGAGGTGGAAAGGCTGTTACACTCAACTTATCGTGTAGTCATGGCTCAGTACAAAGAGCCCAAGACAAGATTTATGTTTCCAAGTCGGGCTTCATGCTTTTGTTTGCCTTCTTTAGAAAGTGAGAACATGGGTGCATAGCTGCATTCAGAGGTGAGGAAGGCAAACTGCTCTGTAAAAATTGCCCCTAGTATCTTGGAAAGTGGAATTGGTCTGTTTAGCTCCTTTTTTTTTCCTTACATGGCTAAAATAAGGGTTTGTGCAAAGATGTACCGTTTCACTCTAGCATCTGTGTGTTCGTACCGAGAAGGTACGAACACACAGGACAAGCCCATTCTCAAGTCACACTTAGAGTCCGTCACTCATCCCGTGTTTGTACCTTCTTAGTATCTGCCTGTTAGTGCTCCTTCAAGGATGCATTTGTACCAAATAGCCCAATTTTCTATGCTGTTGTGTTTCACTCTTGCTGGAAAGCTTTGCGCAAAAGAAAACCATTCTAGTACGTTGAGGTTGCACATAGCACCACAAGCGGTCTATACTAGAGTGCTCGATGCATAACCTGGTACTCTTGATAACACAGCTTCAGGCCAAAATATTCAAAGACTAGGACTGAAAATTCGTCACAAGGTGAAATTTTGTGGCAAGCTTCGTCTTACTCTTTGTTCCTTAATATTGCCTGTTTGGCTCATTCAGAACTAAATTGTCGTCTAAAGCTGTGCCAAACTGGTTTACTTTATAAGTGAACTTTGCTGCCCTCCCATCATAGCACAAATCATAGTGGCTATCAATAATGTCATTAAGAATTTGTAGCAAATTTGTGATAATGAACATGATTCCATCCTATCGACAAAATTTTCCGATTTTATCAATGCTGTTATACTTTAAAAAACCTACATCAGTGATCTGATTAAGTATAAGTATGTTTGCCAAGCCACATTGTATGCAATTTGTAGTTACTTTATGAATTCAGTTGCATGGTAATTCAAAGAGGTTTTTTCTGTGTTTTGAACATGTATTTGAAAAGTAAGAACCAGTACTTGAGCTTTTTGTCTAGGTTTTGTGAAAAGTAAGCCATCACTGCAGCTTGCAAGATTCATTTTTCCATTTTTGTAAGAAGCCCTGCTGTGGGCAACAACATAAGCCTCTCACCATGAACAAACCAGAAAAGAACTGTCAATAAAACTTGCATTGAAATCACTCAATGTCACTTGATATCTTAGCAGTAGGCTGAACTAATTATTAATTATATAGAAGTAGTCAATGTGAATGTGTAACAGCCAATACAGCAGTCTGTACTACTTGCTTTCTTCAACAGCTTCCAGTGATGTTGAGTCTACAGCCCAAAAAAGTAAGTGCTTTAAAATTATTTTCACTAAAGCAAAATGCGAGACGCTTTGCACACACAACCTTACGTACAAATGCCAGCATTAAAATAACAATCTACAGGATCAAAGTGTATGTACAATGGAGGGGATACCCGTCCTAATCTTTCATTCTTGCTCGCTCAGTGCTCAAATTACAATTTGCTTCTCTCCTCATGCATGCAAAATCTATGACCATATTAGGTGCATTCGTTTTGAACGAAGAAGCCTGCTTGCCAATTTTGTGTACAGTTGACTATCACTAGACACAAAAATACCTTCATTATACTTTGTCGATATACGAGACTTGCTTTGTTATATGTCATAACTTCATATTCATGTCCATCTGACACTGTTGTCTCATAGAGCAGCATGTCCCTGACTTGAAACACTGAAAATTATTCCGCAGATCTTGAATGTGACACTGCAGTAAAAACACGATACTGGGCAAGAACAGCTTTGCGCATCGTTGCTCATAACAGCTTTGCTCAAATGCTCAGTGAGAGCGTTTAAAAAGCCAAACGAACCATGTGCAGCATAAAAAAATAAAACAAGATGCAGGGTTGCCATCACATAGTGCTACAACTACATCTTTTCAACAACAGATAAAAACAATGCAGCGCAGCCTGTGTTCTACCTAGTATTCACATGTTAAAGGAATGCACAGCAATAGAGGCAAGGCCCTTTGTCCGCTCGCTTGGTCCTTCACACATTCGTGTTTTTGCTGGTGTCGGCCCAGTAGTTTTGTATGGTCACTGCTTCCAGGCTGTTGAGAAACGAGTCGTTGTCCAGAGAAGTCATTTCTTCCGAGCTTTCCTGCAAATGAAGATCGCGCACAATGAAAAGGGATGAAAATTTCCCAGGACCAACGAATCGGACCACAGGCGTCACAAACGCATTTGAGCAAACAGTTATGGTCGTTGGCTCCCGAACAATGGGTGTGGTGAGCAGCTAGTGCAACACCTACTTAAGGAATACTTCAAAGCTGTTTGTTTTAAAAAACACCAAAGAGAAGAAAGGGTTTATTCTGAATTAGTAAGTTATCCTTTCATGACATGGCAAATCTCGGCAAATTTTATTGAGCCTTTCAATATTTTATTTTATTGAGTGGCTAAGCACAATAACAACAAAAGTGAAATCTGTTACACTATATTGACACTGGTTTTGGTGTAAAACTCAAAAATGAATCTGACCACTTTATCAGCTCAAAATTATTTAATTTATTAATTAGCCCTGACTACACTAAAAAAGTGAGTATTTAAAGTCCCTTTAGATATTCGTGTTCTGCTCAGAACAAGCTGAGACAAATGCTTCAGCCATAAACTAAGATACCGAGTTCACTCAATAAATAAATCTGATGTCGTGAAACAATGTCAATTCCATCCCATTTAAGTTGAGCCACACCTAAAAACACTTCCGCATAACTTTCGACGTGTACCTTTTGTTGATAGTTTGACTGGACAAGGAAGTAAGCGTTGCATCTAGGAAGAGTGAGACTATGCTTCTGAAAATTTTAATAAATTTCTCGACACCTATTTTGCATTGACAGTTGTGTTGTAATACGAGAAAGTGCAATTAATCATGTCATTTCGAGATAAAATCGGGTAGTTACATTTGCACAAACTACGCAATAGAGAGTAGGGAAGCATAGGGAGTGTTAGGTGAAAGTTAGAAGTGAGAGAAACGAAGCATGTAAAAGCGGACAAAAAAAGAAAGACTTTACCAAAGGAGAAAGCTAAACCCACACTTCTGCTCTGTGTGTGCAATACACGGTCACCAAGCTACGTTGGCAGCAGTTTCCCAATACAGATTGTTGGCTATTTATGTGTAATTGTCATAGAATTAAGTGTCAGCCAGTGTCACTTGCATTCATGGCTACGTATCAGTGGCGGATCCAGAGGGCAAGCAATAAGGGCAATCACCCCCCCTCCCCAAAGCCTGTGTCAGCACCCCCTCCCCCCCTCTTTTCTTCAGTGCTTGTCATCCACCTTCTATAACCAATTAGAACAAATGAGTGGGACCACTACGAGTAAACATTAACAGTATTCATGCTTTCAAGGAGCTTCCATGCTAATTAAAGCAAAAAAGTTAGGACTCCGGCCCCTTCCTCTGGTGTTACTTCAAGCGACCACCCCCCCTAAAATGTGTAGCTGAATCCGCCCTTGCTACGTATGATACACACATGCAAACGCCAAAGAAAGTTGATGGGACAGTGGCTGCCGTGATAGCTGAATGATAGAACCTTGCATGAGCACCATGGATGTAGGTTTGGCTTCCACCTGTTGGTGACATAACGGGTAAGAGGAACCATGTCTGGGAATAACCAAGGCAGTAAAGGAGGCTTAAAAGGGCCCTGCAACACTTTTTGAACATGGTGAGATTGTGGCCAATCGGCCGTCCGAGAGCACGTGGACCAAACATTATAGCGCAGTACAGGGCAGGCAAATTGTTAAGTAAAGCTCAAAAGGAGCTAAAATTGCTCGTTCCTGTCTTGACAAATGATGCGATATGCCAAATCAACTGCGTGATATGCCAAATCAACTCCGTGGTGTACCCAAAAAACAGAGCAACTGGCTGATTTGAACATTGTGAGCTGTATGGTTTCAGCAGTCGCCACGGTGCGCCACGACATGCCCGCAGCGCCGTCTAGTGAGCTGCATGCAGCATTTAAAACGACACTAAAGAGTAGCAATCATTCGGTCTAGATTGATAAACTGCACTCTGAGGGCTGTGTTGTCATAAGTTTCACTGTCATGAGTTCATTATTAGCGCAAGAAATCAAGGTTAAAGTTTAATTTAAAATTTCGTGCCAAAATCTCTGCGCGTGACGTAAAAGAACTTCAAAATGTGTTTTTCGTATTTAAGCGACATTGGCTCGATTATATTTCCGGAAAAGTTGTATGCTATGTTTATGGCACCCACAGATGACAATGTACTTTGTTTTTATCGAGGAGAAGCTATGTAGGAAGAACCCAGAGGACGCCTTTAAAATCTACCACATCACCGTGCGGGAATTTCACAGTGGCATCTCCACCCGCATTTTCTTTTCGCATGTTTTCTTGCTTACCAAGCATCATGTCACGATAAGAGTGATGTTTCAAGGATTGCGGAATTGTACATTACTAATACATAAAGTGTAGATCAAAGTGTAAAATCGTTTGCTCTTTAGTGTTCCTTCATAGTTGGCTGAGCACACATTCAGAGAAAAAAAAAGTGCTTTCTTTCATCCTCCTCTTTCCTCCCCTGTGTAGCTTTCAGCATGCTTGCTGGTATGAAAGGAGAGAAAAGTCCTTGGACCGTGCGACAAATTCCTGTAATGTATCTGTACCTCCGCTTGTACCTGACAGATTCTACAAACTATTGCAGAAGTATATTCGAAAAGCAACTAACTCTGAGAGCGAGGTGATTTCATGATTAGTTAGCAAAGTGTTGCAGGGTCCCTTCAATTTAGTACAATAGGAATGAACAGGAAATTGTGTGTAAACAAAAGGGGAGGTACCTTGGGAAGCTCAATATGGGTGTTCATGTAGCTACTGCGCACCGAGTCATCGATGTAGGCGACGTTATCCGTCGAAGACTTGTCCTGGCCATTCAGCAGCTTCAGGAAAGGCCTCCGTAAGACGATATATGTTATTAGACCTGACGGGGAAGGAAACAGCACATAATTACCGTACTGCATTAAAGGATAATGATTTTCTTAAAACCAAGATTGTATCATCACGTTTAAAGTGGCACCCTCTCGGAGTGGTTGCGAGTGCATTTCGCTCTGTCAGGCGTAAATGCGTCATGTTACGGTCAACGCCCGTCTCTTCAGACTTCTGTGGGCTGGGTGGAACTCGTGTGAAACACACAAATTTCGAATTCAGTCACGTGTTCGCTAAATGCTCATCTACAGGGTTGAAACAATGAAGGTGTATTCTCCACCCTTTATCAATCGTGCATTTATAATATATGTGATGAAATTTAACCATGTTGTCTCATTTGCTGACTGTAGGCGTCTCTAAAAACATTGCATTGGACAAATATTGAAGAAAGTAATGGTCCCATGGATGCTTCGGACTCTACAGGTACGTCACTATATGATGCTGGGCTGGCTGGTAAAAACAAGCTGCACGACATTTCTAATCCTGAACTAAGTGAAAAATTGACTCACCATGTTGGGAAAATTGTAGTTAAAAATTACAGTCTCTGCACTTCTGTCGTGTAAGGCAGTTTCATCATAAACAATTGGCAATGGCAGTTTTAATGAGAAAAAAAAGCTAGGAACAACTGAAGAGACAAAACGGTCTAGAAACCTCCTTGAGTTCTAAACATCACTGTGACACATTACGTTTTATGGTACAAAATTTACAGCTCTATTTCCTTTGAAAAACTCAAATTTTACGTTACTGCTGATTCTGTACGCCAGATGATACGTTGCTCGTATTTTCTTTCTCTGCCTCTCTGATGTCAACAACAGTACTTCACTGATTGTTTACAGCCAGTGTTACAAGACACTAGCACCGACAGCCATGGGCTGTAACATCATCAGGCAAAGGGCAGGCAACAGAGATCACCAGTGTTGGGGTGCTTCACAGGCATCTCCAAAAGTAATTTGCAAAAATTTTATACCACTTAAGCTGAAAAGAAATTAGCAGGGCAATGAAGCACCAGCCATCAGGCGAGCTCACGACGCAAAGCTGACCGCATTTTTTACTGGTGATTACAAAAAGTAATAATTACTGTAAGGCAATACACAAGGCAATCATCTGTGCAATCTTAAACTGTGACATGTTGCAAGCAATGAACAGTGAAAGACATACTGTGTGTAATATTATTGGGCAAAAAAGACTGATGCAAAAAACCTGAAGAACAGACTACTTGTACAAAGAGATGCAAGGACAGCTGTTTTTTGTAATAGAAATTTTGTTATAGAGGAGAGCAGTTGAGTCACAGTTCCCTTAGCTGAATACATGTAGTCAGTTGCCCAAGCTACACTTAATATAATGTGATACTTGCCTGCAAGAAGTGCTACCGATGCAATGGAACCGATCACTATTCCAGCCACTGCACCTCCGGCTAAAGGGTAGTCTGGAGACTCAATGTTCGGCGAGTCCTTGTCAACTGTGGTGGTCGCAGTCGATGTCTCAATGGGCGTGGCAGTCACACTACCACCCGCTTTAGCCTCCACAGTTACAACACTTTCTTGGTGCACACCGTTTTGGTCTATCACACCACCAGAAACACGAAACGGGCTGGAGTCACTCGACGTAGAACTGGGCGTTGCATTACTCTGCGGATGCACGCTGTCATGCCCATCAGACACGGCGTTAATGGAGAAGGACTCCGTCGCATCTGTAGCAGCCGTAGCCTGGGTAGTGTCTGGAAGGCTCTCAGTCACTGGATCGGTTGCGGAGACAGGGTGCTGCACAGTGTTCTCACCACTCGTCGCAGGTAGAATCGGTCTCACAGGTGGAATCTCGTTGGATAGCTGAGCTGGCGTATTTGTCTGCTGTGGAACGGTGTGCTGTGGTAGGGATGGTACGAAGGTTCTCCAGTCTGGATGCGTAGTGGGGCTTTGTGGCACTTGCGGGAATGAGGGAGGGGCAGTGATGGGAGGAGAAGGTGGGCTGTTTCCACGAAAGACGTACGATGAAGGACCCTGCATCGACACACAGATATTACAGTCGCCTCTCTAGTTTAACAATAGCTTCATTTCTAGACACTTAAAAAGGACATATGTGTTTCACTTCAACGAATACTGGGTCACCATAAAAAGGGAATGGCATTAACATTGCTGGCAGTGACACCTTGTAATGTCACGTGTTAGTAACATTTATTTAGAGCGATAGCTCTATTCCTCCAAGTACCCCAGAAAACGACTAGTGTTGTGAATATGACCTTGAAGCTCAATCGAGGTCATTTCAGCATCTCAGAGGTGCTAACACACATCAGATAATTGCCGGCAACTGCCCACTACGTGGTGCAAACTTCTTGCTGATGAGTTCGTGCCAACATTTCTCTCAACACTCTCAGTGTGGCAAGTTCGCACAACCGAATGGAAGTCTGACGTCTATCTTTCGCACATCCGCATTACACCAACCAGGCATGAAGGAAAAACAAGAAGGAGCGAAACCGTCGAGCAATGACGCTCGGAAGCTATCGCTTTGCGAACTTGATTTAACCATGTTTAACCACAGCTATTCTTTGCGTTACGTGGGTGTCTTCTGTACGACAAAAATAAGCAAGCTAGCAATCATTTCACTGTCAATACATCAGCAGCTCAGTAGAGTAGTAGGCTACGAGTGATTATTGCATTAATACCTTTGTCTCCTCTGTGCACTATAAAAAGATTAAAAAGGGCACTGTTAGCGCTACCTGCTTGCATGAAATTTTTGCTCACAACCAAGGACACAGACACAACTTCTGCGAAATTAGCTCTTTAATGCTCTTGTATTAATACCGGACAAATTTATAAAATTCTTCAATACATGCTAGATACACTTAACACAAGAGAGGAGGGGAATGCATCTTTCTTGTTTTTTTAAACACGTTATAGACTTCTTCAGACACGAAACTATATGAATGACAGTATTCCTGGCAGCACTATAACAGAAATAATCAATTATAGGTGTTTACCTGTCTAATGCTAGTCACTTACGATACCGTGAAAGTGATTGTTGCTCGAGAAGCGAGCTGCCAAGGATGCCTCAGCGGCACAGCGTGAACGCCCTGCCGGTACTCACCGTGCTGATGGGCGAGTTGTCTGGGTGAGGCTGGGATAGCCAGCTGGCTGGGTTGTGCATGGGCCGCCAGTTCGTGCCCTGGGGCTCACTCAAGGGAATGGGCTCAGCCCTCACAAAGATGGGGGAAGTGTGCGGGGACTCGTATGTGGGTGCCTGTTGGTGGCTGCCAGTGCCTGCTCCCCAAGGAGGCAAGGAGCTTGGCACGAACACCACGGGAGGCGGGGCGTGGCCCCCTTGGGGCACACCTTGACAGGGTTCTTGCAGGAGCATCAGGACACCCCACAACGCTGCAAGCACTGTGCCGAAAACCGAAGTGCCTTCTTGTCAGAACTTATATCAAATGGGAAAAAAGGCCATCAAATTAGACTAGTGAACCTTTGTATAGTCGAGCTGAAAAAGTTTATTTACTCCAGCCTCTTGATGCAGATTATATGTGCAAGTAAAATGTCTGGTTTTACTGGCATTCGGTCACAAACAGCTCAGAAATTCGACGTTTTCGTAGATATTACAGTTCTTAAAATGATGGACTATCTCTTTAATCCACAACATTTATTTTATTGTGAAGCTTTATAAATGCATAAAAAATCTGCTTTGTAGGCTATAATTCCGCATGCAATACCTTTGCTTACTGAAATGCTAGAAACAAGGAAATGCCAGCTTTAGAAGATAATAAAATGTTAGTTGTATAAACAAATTTAGGAAAGAGTTTATTAAACAGGATACTGTTAGCATGAATAAGAGGACTTGTCGATATATTGTCCTACCTGTTGAGATGTCCATGTTTAGTTACGTCAGTAACATAATGAATTTTCCACATGTTGGTCAGAAAGTAAGAACAGAAGCCATTCCCAGCTGAAATAAAAACAAGGTCACCTGTTATAAGAAAGCTTATTTAAAAGTGGTCAGTTATAAAAGGAAGAGAGAATGCCAGAATAGCTTGAATGTCTATGGCCTGTCACTGCTGGACTTGGTTTTTGACAGAGTGGCAGAGCAATTTAATAAATGACTCAAAAGAATATCATCAAAATATTAAATATGTGTCATCAAGAGTATAAACAGTCTAATAAAGCCATCTCTTCTATGCCTAAGGGTTCATTGCTGGGGCTACTTGGTTTACATATTTTACAGCTAGAGAATACAAGCACATGTCTCATTGTTCATGCTGTTTCACTATAATCTTAAATCCTTATGTACAGGGTACGGCTACTCTATTTAGTAAGCCTCTCACAAGGTAACTGAGGTTTACTATTACACTGTCCCCACTATCAGCCCACTCTAGTCAGCATCAATATAGTTTTGGGCCCAAGAGGACAACTTCTGCCAATGGCAATGTGTAGCTGGGCACATTAGATGGTATGTGAACAACCTTGGCTCGAACAGAAGAAACTGAGTGAGCTCAGTTGAATTGAAATGTGCATCAAATGATGAACGTTGTGCTGCATAGATATGAAGGAGGAAAAGGGATCTGAAGGAATTTAAACAAGCACGAGAAAACGCTCTAGTTAGAACCAACCAGTTCCTATATACATGTGTGATCTACAATAACAGCTACACACTTCTGTAGTTTACCATCCAGCTGCTTTGAACATACACAGCTTAACATGCTTTTTATTGCTGAGTTGACTTAGTTCATCTTACAATGCTTTGATGCTGGTAGTCCAGGGCCTTTGTGAAAGAGTGCCGAGAAGACGCAAGTGAAGAAGCAGTGAATGACCGATCGTTGGTCTCTTCGCACTTTTATGAGATATGTGTTAAATTGAAGAGTAGTGAATATCTGAGTCAGTTGTCTATTTTGAAATAAAAGTGATAGAAAGTCTAGCATAAATTGAGAAAATATCAGTTACAACTGCAGCATTGTTAAAAGTTATAAATTAGCTTTCTTCTCAGCTAATACACTGAACACAGTTGCTTTCATTCAGTGCGTCATTATTTCTTAATATAAGTAGCATGCCTCCATTGTGTGACCTTGACAAGAGGAGTAGGATGTGCATTTGGCCAGGAGCTTCGCAATGTTATGGCAATTTAGTTTTTTTTTTTAAGCTGAATTATCAGTGTCCACTGAAAAGTCTCACCATGAATGAAGAACCAGCCTCATAGCCTTATTTATATGCTTAGCAGGCAGCTATGTGAGCTTTAACGTGGATATCTATTCAGTTGGGACAAGTGTGTTATAAGCTATGCACAATGCGTAATGCCAACACATTCTCGAACGCTGACTTGAAATACATTTTAGAGGCTGCAGCAAATATAAACTGGTTCGATTATTTCTGTCAACAGGCCTAATTTCTGTGTTTGTGGTCTGAGAGCTCAGGGAACAGAATGAAAATTTAAGAAGCTTGCACAAAGCTTACAATTATTTGAGTTGCATTACTTGACAATAATATGCTGGTTATATGCACGAGTTATCTACGGTGCTGCATATCACGGAAGTATGCTAGTGATTGCGATGTCTCCACAAGAAATTAATTCTCGCTGAAATGTCTTACACGTGCTTGCATTGAATTGTCAGTCCCTATTATCTTTACGTTTCTTAAATGATGAGCTACAAATAAAAGCCTGCGAAATGTGCTGTTTCTGCCACACTTGCAAGCAGGACAGCTGCATCTGTCGCAATAACGAGTTTTCGGTTTCTCTTATCGCGAAGCTCCTCCTCTCCCCCCTCGAGTACCTCGGCGCCTCAGTAACAGCAGAATATTAAAGGTCTCTGGCGACAGCTTGCTTTAACTCTCCGAGTGTTCCCCGTTCTCTATGGTAACTGGTTGGTAACGAAAATCGTGTACAGATGGTAATTAAACCGTCAAATGACGTTGAGCATTGGCACATAACGTACGTACAGATGTTCGCGATTTCGTCACATGCCCACGCGAAATTTTATTCTCGTCGACAGACTGACACGAGCTTTGTTCGACAGAAAGAAAAACGTCGCAGGTGCGTTCGAGTTTCGGTACAATTGTGACCATAAGATCCGTTCAAGGTCGGCGCGCGTCCCTCACTTTTACGCATCAGCGCGGAAAGAGCGGATCTCGCAGGTGTTCTCGCGCGTGGTGGTTGTCCTTTTGTTTCGCTCTTTCTGCTACGCCATCTCTTTCTATTTCTGAAGAGACAAAGCTCGCGACAACAGCCCAGACATCGCCGCGTCAACTTGAGAGCCACGAAACGAGGAGCCGTGTACTACACTGCTGATGGACGCACGCACGGTGCATAGGCGGAGCCTCGCGCGCGGTTCGTGCAAGCGGTGCAAGGCAAGGCCGCAAATCCGCGCACAGCAGGAGAAACGTTGAGCGCCGATCATGCAACCCACCTTTACCGACGTATAGACTTCTATCCCTTTCCTGGCCCGGCGTCTCCAGGTCTCGTCGTCGTGTGTCCTGCTGATAGACGACGACACGCAAAACACACACACACAGCACACACACCGGAGCGGGGATATCAGCGCGCTGTCACCGGTTGTCACCGGAACCCCGACACAGTACCGCTCCCGCTACGGGATGCGTTGACATCGCGTTGGCTCGCTAACGTTGTGCTGGCCGATGAGACGAATGCAGCGAGTTTTCGAAACTCCGACAAATGATCCGAAACGCGCTCAAACCACGATGTTGTTCGACCCCGTTGCCTCAAACGACGCTCCTCGGTTGTCGTCAGGCGCGCGGTCTTAACATGGTAAAAGACACAGCTGTCGACGGGCACAGTGTCACGAGCGCCGCGCAAATCCGTTCGGTCACGCTTCGCACACTCCACTGCAGGCCGTCGCACGGCCAGCCAGCCAGCTCGACGCACAAGCCAAAACAAACGCATGGAACGAGAGAAGCAGCGAAGCAGCGGAGGCAGGGAAGGCGGCAAGGGCGGGGATAGGTAATGGCTGTTGGAGAAAGGGAATAGAGGCAGTGCCAGTGCGCGCTCTTTTCTCCTTCTCGCAGGTTTGTGACGTCACAATACGAGCGTTGCATGGATAACGGCAGCGTGGACAGGTGCTCCTTTCACTCTGTGCAAATCGAACCGGTCGCGGTGGTCTCGAAAATAGAGGCGTATAACGGTGTAGGGCAGCCTTAAGTGGTTCAGATTCGATTTTTTGTCTTCCGGCGTTTTCTTTTGCTTTCGGCGCTCGCTCGACCGACTTTTTAGTATTCTCTGGCCCCGCAGCATTAAGAAAATGGCGTAGAATCCGTGTTGCACTCCGCTGCACACAGAACAAGCTAATAACATTTCGTTGTTGTTCAAGTGGACATAGCCGGACTATAAAACCCCTGTTTACATGTCTAAACGAGCAGCTGTAGCCCTCCCATAGTCAGCAGCAGGGCATTGCGCACTAGTCTTGGGTTCGACTTCCTGCCGAATTCTGATGAGGGGGACTGGGATCAGAAATGGATACACGTTAGATAAGCACAGAAGGTCAAAATTTAACATACTGCATAGCCTGTGATACTTCGAAACGTAGCGATATTATTATAAATCAGTCGACAAACTGCTGTCGGAAAATTAAATTTTTTTCTTTCTCTCAAAGAGAGAGGTATAAGCTTGGAACAGTGACAGTACAATAATTCACTGGCTCCATATCGATAACGCTAAAGGCGGAGAAAGAGAGAGTGAGAGACGTGAACGACAAATTCGATGGGCTACAAAAACACTGTTCTCAGTGGACATCTTACGTGGCATTTAGTAAGTGGTGGGCTTTGGCTAGCAGGTACTGTTCCTTCAGCGAGGTAACTCACAACTTATCATCACTTGTGACGCAGAATGACAATCGCTGCGACAGTTGGCGCTAACAGATAGTTTCGCCCGCAGTTGTGTAATGTGTATCGAAAACCAGTCGTGTGTGGAAACATAGGCGCGCACACTATGGGAAGGGAGGCTTTATCTAGTCACCTAAGAGGGGAGGAGGGGGGGGGGGCACAAAGCTTTCCGCCTACACTGACTTAATAGGGAGGGGGTGGGCGCTGCGGCAAACCTTCATACCGCCTAAAGGGGAATCCTGAGCACACTCATGTGTGGAAGCACTTCGATCGCTTTCTACAATGACCCTCAATACGGAGAAAATGGTGCGTACATAATGAAGCTACATATCATGTCTGCTACCTGCAGACTACTCTCTGACAGAAATTTTTCAATCTGTTGCTACTGCGAGGAGCTGTATATCTATTTTCGAATGCCGCATAAGTGTGAGCAGGGCCGTAACAAGGGGGAGTTGAAAGGTTCAAACTCTCCCGAAATTTTTTTCACTGCTTAACATTTCGGGAAATGAAGCATTCAGTGACGACTTCATATCCACCTCCATTTGCCAAAGTTGGCCGTTCTACACATAAACATGCTCCGAAAAAAAAAAAAAATTCTTGGGTATGGCCCTGATTGTGGCGCCACATGGCATTGATGACATCACGATGACAAGCAATTGGAGAACATGTACAGGTTGTCGAATATAGTGTCATGGTTCTTTGTATTGATGAGAAAAGTGGTGGTGTTACTAAAGATAGACGAAGGCAAAGAGCGAATATCTTCAATTCATGGATGAATGGGGTCAGCTCGGTTTATGAAAAGCGTGGAGGAACAGAATGAAAAGAATGCGGTTTGCTGCTGTCACTCCAGAACCGGCAATAATAGGGGAACCTTTTTACGGAACAACGATGGAAGCCGTATACCGACCTGTTTGGAGACTCAGTAGTCTGGTCATTCCCTGTCCGATTATGTGAAATAAGTCATAGTTGCTCTTGCTCCGCCTTTACGTGGGCTGCTTGTATGTATGTTGTTAAGCTTCGATTACGCGTACCCGGTTGGGCCCAAATGCGAGAACATAGACATCGTGCACGTAGACATTCCGGGGCTGGAAGCGCAGAAGGGAATGCCCAGACGTCCGAGAAACCTGAGACGCTGTTGCCGCGAAGGTGCATTTGCGTGCCTTGTGCTGTGCGCGAGAACGCGACGAGCTCGCAGCTCATCCGCGCCTGCAGCTCTTGAGAGTTGGAATGCCGGTGTTACGTGATCGGTGGCGTGATCTGTGACGTGGTCGGTGGTTCCAGCACAATGTGATGTCCATATTTGGCCATGCCCATAGAGGCACCTGACGACGCACAAGCGTTTGTAAACCTTTGAAACGCGGAGACTGTGTGGGGCAGACTTGACTGAGACCCTGACGGAACTCTGCTCCTCGGATGCTTACCTTTGTCAGTTCCAATCATAAATGTTCACTTTGATCTAACGATGTAGTAATAAACTATATTGCTTTGCTGCTCTGCGCCGTCTCGCCTGTACTATCCTTCTCGTCGGTCCTGATGCAAGTTACGAGCACAACTTGCTAACGGCGGCGGTCGATAGACACCTAACAATGTATGTATGTATGTATGTATGTATGTATGTATGTATGTATGTATGTATGTATGTATGTATGTATGTATGTATGTGGGTATGTATGTATGTATGTATGTATGTATGTATGTATGTATGTATGTATGTATGTATGTATGTATGTATGTATGTATGTATGTATGTATGCATGTATGTATGTGCGCTGCGTGCATTTGTTGCTGATTATCATGAGGCAAATACGACAGCTTATCATGGAGACGTCCGGGTTCTCTCTGACCGATCCCTCCCTAATCTAAATCACGGAGGCGATGGATCGACGCAAAAGCGATAACCAGTTATACTATCGTCACCGCATTAGCCATTTAGGTACTCGGATCACATTGTCTGGCCCACTGTGGGTCAGGGAACACGGCAAGTTTAAGTTATAATAAAAAAAAAGAAACGAGTCTGCGGCGTTGACCAAACTGCGATACATGCGGAGTTGTACAATGTGAAAGCAATTGCACGATACTTTCCAACATATTAGCTCGATTTTATTACACGTATTTCGGCATACGTCAGGTGAAACAAACGTACTCCGCTGTCAGTAAGATGGGCTAGAGGAGAATGCTGAAGTGGGACATTCACGGTTGCTGCATGCCGAAGCGGAACAAACATGCTAACAACGGGACGTTGTAAAAGACGACAGACACAGCGCTGATGGATGAACGATTATCTTGAATATCGATTATGAAGCAAGCTATAAATAGCTTGCACGTGATATCACGGACGCAGCTTCGGAACGCACTGGTGTGCTACGATGGTGACATCACTGACGAACAGATTGGGGTTATACCTGATTCAATGTGATAACATCGGGGCAGGAAGGTTTCTGTGTGTCAATAACAAAAGTCCCTGCTCGTGATTTTTCTACAACATTAATGCGACCTCAATTTGACGTCCATGCAAACCACCTATACACAGTCTACATCGATAATGTTGCCGCGTTTCATGAACGGAATACGGTATACATAACTCTATAGTATTTGCTCATGCTGCAAACAATCTCCATCATAGATTTCTCGTCTGTCACTTGGGATGAGCGAGCGAAATATAAGGACCGATTGCAGGGACCAAGACGGGTGACGAGTCAAGTGGAATAGGGCCATTTGTGGCCTAAACGAGCGCCTTTTGTCTCGGACGCGCTGCCTGCTCGCACCCCCGGAGGCAGACAGGGCGGGCAAAGTGCTCTAGGTCAAGGCGACCACGCCGAGCGCGGCTGGTCGACCAGCGCGTGGTGCCCAGCCAGCCCTTTTGTGCCAATCTGGGTCGCGCTCAGACAAGGCGCCCCTTTGTGCGGGAACCGCCCCGTCGGTGGGATGAGAGTTCGACACTGCATGCAGGGCTCTTCGCGCCGTCCTTATCCATGGGAGCGCTTCCTCCCCCGCTTCGCAGTCCGTGGCGGTCCCCTCGGTTTTCGGTGTTTGTTCTGGTCTTCCACCCGTCTTGAAGTCCTGTCAGAAGATGCGCTACTTCGACACGCCGCATTCACAATGCCTCCGTCTGCCTTTGTGGATGCGATTGAGTTCACTCGCGGCCTGAACTGTCATCGTTTATCGCAGTCGTAGGCGTGTCCAGAGTACTCCGTTAGAAGGAACCAAGTTTCACTGCGGTGCCGACCCCCTTCACCCCCCGTGTGACCGAGTACGACTGAAAACGAACTCCGCACTGGATGAAACAATGAAAATGAAATGCTGACGGGCTTCTCACAAAGGTCTATATATACCATTGATCCCCAGATTTCTGGGGTGACGGCTGGAAGCAGACATGCCTTCTAATGCAACGTCATGAGTTCTCGGTTGCATATAGCGTCAAAAGAAAAAACGATGCATAGCCATAGTTATGCGCATTGAAAAGTGACGCAGTAAAGGTACGGTGCAGAATTAACGCACCCCTTTAAGATTAATAAAATGATTTGCTGGATGCGTTGGTTCATTCTAGAATATATTTAGACGCGAAAGGACGATATAAAGAAGGGAAGACACTCGTACAGTTGTCTTCTCTCGTGTCTTGTCCATTCGCGCTCAAATCTGTTTCCCTTAGATTCTTAGGATCACCCTCACCCTTTCTCCCCGTGTTCATGCCTATGATCCTATATATAGACCATATAGAGACGTCGAGTGGCCGTACCTCCTGGGAGACGTGGAGGCATGAGTCGTTTAGAGAAAGACGGATATAATGGACCAAAAAAAAAAGGGGGGGGGAGCTATCGGTTCCTCTGCTCCCGAAATAATGGGCAGAGATGATGGACTAATAATACTGATAGAAACGCTTCGACAAACGTAGGCTTATATAACCGCCTGAGCACAATATCTATCGACAGCAAGCTGGCAAGTGACGGTATGAACAGTGACGCTTCAGTATGAATTGCGACATGCTGGCTGTGGTTGAAGTGACTCCAAACATGAACAATTACACTTACAAACGATAAATTAGTTCAGAAAGTACCGATAATTGAGCGAGTCTAGTTCACAATTTTTGTTCTCTC